ACAGTGTGCTGTGGCATGTACACCCCACCAAACATCATACATGCATGCATACCATTCCCAACTCTTTTTTTTTAATGTGGGTTTCTGTGTGTGTACTCATAGTACATGCGCCCTAGGAGAGGGTGTCAGACCCATGTACTTAGAGTTACAGATGACAAAACCCTTGACATAGGTGCTCGGAATAGAACAACAGGGCCCTCTGCAAGCACAGTGTGCGCTCTGAACTCTGAACCGTCTTTCCAGCACCTCAGTTTCTTGTTTTTGGGGTTTTTTTTTTCCTGTGTTTTGAGACAGAATCTCACTGTGCAGCCTGGCTATTTACAGAGATCTGCCTGCCTCTGCCTCCCAAGTACTGGAGTTAAAGGGTAAAACACTAGGCCTGATATTTTGTTCCTTTTTTTTTTTTTTTTTTGAGATAGGGTTTCTCTGTGTAACCCTTGATGTCCTGGAGCTCCCTCTGTAGACCAGGCTGACCTCAAAGTCAAAGATCCACTTGCTTCTCATGTAAGTTACTTCTCTGTATCTGAATAAATATCCTACTACCTTTTCCAAGCATCCTTGGCATGACTTGTTTCCTTTATCACCTGGTGTCATAGAAGTGGGATTTTCATGGGTGATTTTCACCAATGCAGCTGCAGCTAGCCCAGCCCCTCCCTTGAGGGCCTCGGTGCAGTCCCAAAAGAACAGCAGCCTCCTTGTGCCCTCCACCCACCCATGGGCCCAAGCGCTCCCCCCCCCCTCCCGCTGCCGCCTCTGGCAGCACTGAACCAGGCACAACGCCTGAAAGCCTCTCCACCCCAGGTCTCCACTGCTGCCTCCCCCTCCTCCCGTCACCTCCTCTATCTGGGTAGGGCTACGCACATCATTGGAAAGGCGGGCCAAGCGGCATTTGTTCCCTTTTCTGTCCATAGGTTTCGTGGCTGTTTTCTAGCTACAGGTCTCCACAATTTGCATAGATTTTTCCCACGCCCCAAACTTGCTCGCTAATTTTCTGCACAAGCTGCTTAGAATCTTTCAGTTATTATTTGGAAAATAGGTTTCGCGGCAGAACTGTGTTTGGCGGTAGACCTCCTCCATCTACTGGCCAAGGCTAGTCACTGCAGGTGAAAAATCTGCGTGTGTGTGTGTGTGTGTGTGTGTGTGTGTGTGTGTGTGTGTGTGTGTGTGTGTGTGTGTGTGTGTGTTTGTGTGGGGGGTGTTTGGCAGTACACCTGCGCCACCTGCTGAAGATGAATAATAACTGCAGGTAAAAATCCTCGGCTCAACCCAAGATAATTGAACAGTTTTTCAAATACTATAACATAAACCATGTAACTGATATACCTTACAATCCCACAGAACAAGCAGTGGTTGAGAAATCTAACCGAACCTTCAAAGAAATACTCCATAAACAGCCAGGGGGAACAAAGACCCCAAACACAGATTACATAATGCTTTATTAACATTAAACTTTCTTTTTCTTTTTCTTTCTTTTTTTTTTTTTGGTTTTTTTTTTTTTTTTTTTTTTTTTTGGTTTTTCGAGACAAGGTTTCTCTGTGGCTTTGGAGACTGTCCTGGAACTCACTCTGTAAACCAGGCTGGCCTCAAACTCACAGAGATCCTCCTGCCTCTGCCTCCCGAGTGCTGGGATTAAAGGCGTGCACCACCAATGCTCGGCAACATTAAACTTTCTTAATGCTAATGAGAAAGGACAAACAATTGCAAAAAGACACTGGACTACAGAAAAAAACTTCTGAACTAAATCAAACAGTGTATTTCAAGGATGTTATGACTTCAGTTTGGAAACCAGGATGTGTGTTATGTTTGGGAAAGGGTTTTGCCTTTGTTTCCACAGGAGAAGAAAAGCTTTGGATTCCATCAAAACTGATCAAGATTTGATCAGGAGAAATCTCGGGAGGAGGAAAGATGACAGCTCATCCACAAAGTCATATTCTGTGATGTATAAGGAGACCTCACGAAAGGAAAGGGAAGTGTTTTGTTTTTGTCTTCACAGGGAAACCCGTTTCCAAACAGAAAAAAAAACCCCAAAAAACTGAATGTATGGATACCTGAAGAAGAGAGGATGGTTACCCAAAGGATCATGAGACAAACAAGAATCTAATGTTTGGCCGGGCGTTGGTGGTGCACGCCTTTAATCCCAGCACTCGGGAGGCAGAGGCAGGCGGATCTCTGTGAGTTTGAGGCCAGCCTGGTCTACAAGAGCTAGTTCCAGGACAGCCTCCAAAGCCACAGAGAAACCCTGTCTCGGGGAAAAAAAAAGAATCTAATGTTTGGTATCAATGTCTAATTCTCTTAACCTATAATATCCTTAACCTATAATATGTATTTCTCTTTACTTCCTAATGCTCTTTTGGTCCCAATTCACTTAAACTGAAGCTGGATTTGGCTTTCCTCTTCTAAATCCCAGCATATTGTTAAAGTGAAATTCAGAGTTTCTGTATTATATCACAGAGCCACTGATATAAGACAGAAGAAAACAAAATCCAGGGACTGTCATCTGTTTATACTCGGTTCTTTCCCTGAAAGTCTAATTTCCCTCATATTTACTGTCTTCCTTATTGTTTCTTTTCCCGGTATGTATATATATAAAAGTTGAAAATTTCTTTGTTGACATTAATGTTTGAGTTTTCCACAGAGACCAAGGAATTTCCTAACAGCGGTCTTCAAAAACTTTGGCAAGAAAATGGGGCCCCACATCATCAACTCCACCTGACAAGTGCTACCCTGAAACCAGTTTGGGACCACATCACTCGACACAACCCCAGACCAATGAACTGATATGGTGCACCTTCCACAAGCTGGCCAGAGCCTCAGACAAGAGCTTCAATCAACATTAGAACTTGAGTCAAGAGCTTCAATCAAGCATCTCCCACCAAACAGAGACTGAGTGCAGATGTTGTAGTTCACTTGAGAATTTCACTACACTAACATTTCCTTCCCATGAGGTTGTCGTCGTCCCAGTTCAGCAGGAAGTAATTTTGAGAATACTATGCCCCCTTTCCCTACTGTTGATGTTACAGGATAACTTACACCTGTTGGGGTTAGTTTTCAATTATCTAGGGTTGGGATTGGAAGGAGGTGTTCAGACTTGGGCATCCCTTTCAGATAAGTTTAGGGTTTAGATGGGATAGGTATACTTAGGATAGGATATAAGTAGGTTATAATTTGTTTATCATCTTAAATGTATGTCATATATGTTAGAGTTTTGTATCAAGTCTAAATCTTTTCTTTAGACTAAAAGAGGAATTGTAGGGAGAGGTCTCAAGGACCTGCAGCACATTTGAGTGTGGTCACAGGTACACGGGAGAAACCAGGAATAAAAGAGGGGACAGGAAGAGACCCCACTCTCTTGGATTCTGCTCGAGGTTCAGAGACCATAGAGAGCTGACTCCAGCCAGTTTTCCGCTTCTTGTGTAAATTACTTCTCTCTATCTAAACAAATATCCTACTACCTTTACCCAGCATCCTTGGCTTGACTAGTTTCTTTTATCAGGTTATTTGTTGGGCCCTAGCCCCACGGGGTCTCTGTGAGTTGCTGGTCAGTTGTTTTCCAGTCCAAGTGCTTCCTGTTTTCTAGTCCTGGCTTACTGCCCTGGCCTTGACCCTCTGACATCAACATCCAGCAGGAGGAAAACACGCTCTCTTCTACCTGGGGTTTTTCCACTGTGCTGTAAACCTGTATATAAAGCTCCTCCCTCCTACAAGACAGAACCCTCTTAGCACTTGCAATGAAGACATAAACACACACATTCTCCTGGCAATAAAGGCATCACATGCATTCTCTTAGTACAAGCAAGTGGACGTCTTGTCTCTCTTTTCCTGATACCTCGGAGTTGCTTGTGGCACGGGGGCCGCAATTGGAGGTCTCACCGAGACCCAGAGAGACTTGGAAAGACTGGGAAAGATTGGCCAGAAAGAAGACTCAGGAGAGGAGAGACTTGAGAAAGAAAAGAATTAAAAACAGGTACCTCAACTTCTAAAAGTAAAATTGAATGGTCAAATCTCCAGGCTTTGCTGAAGAGATCACCTTCTAAGGAGAAGATGTATTGGATTAAATCTCCAGGCCTTCGCCTGACACCAAGGTCAGGAAAGAAAGGGGAACCTGAGAGATCGCCCTCAGTTGGAGGATGGATTAAAAGTGGGTAAATTGACGCCGGGCGTTGGTGGCGCATGCCTTTAATCCCAGCACTCAGGAGGCAGAGGCAGGCGGATCTCTGTGAGTTTGAGGCCAGCCTGGTCTACAGAGTGAGTTCCAGGACAGCCTCCAAAACAATACAGAGAAACCCTGTCTCGAAAAAAACAAACAACAACAACAAAAAAAAGTGGGTAAATTGAAAATTGGTAACAGTTAATAAACAAGGTACGGTATTAAGTAAAAGAAAAGGAAAAGATAAAAGTATATGGAATGAAAAATACACAGAGAGTCTGTGATACAAATTCAAGGTTATTTTTGTTAAAAAACAGACTGTTTCTACTTATGTTTAAGATATTGTATTTTGATGCAAATTTAAGGCTATTTTATAATACTGTATTATAAATTTCTATTTTTTATTTAAGTATTATACCTATGCAGATCATTTAAAAATACAATGTAAAGTACTACTCCTTGAAAGCTATTTAGGATAATAAAAAATACAGGTTATTGATGGGAGATGTCATTCTGTAAATCTGTCTCTCTTATTGGTTGTTGAATAAAGCACTGTTGGCTAATAGGGAAGCAAGATTGGTGGGACTAGGAGTCAAAGAAGATTCTGGGAGAGGCAGAGTCAGATACAATGTAGGCTGCCAGAGGAGTTAAGAGAAATACTTAGATTAACAATTATGGGTTAAATACTTAAGTCAGAGCTAGCCAGTAGGGAACCAAGCAAAGGGTCAACAGCTTCATTATTTTTTTTAAGATTTTATTTATTTATTATGTACACAGTGTTCTGTCTGCATGTATGCCTGCAGGTCAGAAGAGGGCACCAGATCTCATGACAGATTGCTGGGAGCCACCATGTGGTTGCTGGGAATTTAACTCAGGACCTCTGGATGAGCAGTCAGTGCTCTTAACCTCTGAGCCATCTCTCCAGCCCCAACAGCTTCATTATTAATATAGTGTCTTGTGTGTTATTTGGGGGCTGCAACTGCGGCAGGGAGGGCCCAGGAGGCTGGCAGGGAAGACAACACATTACAGGTTATTAGTTAGTCATCAGCAACAATGAAACTTATAGTTATTTTAGGTATATTTTTAAGGTCAATCAGAGACATTTTAAATATATAAATGGTCTTCAAACACTTAATAGACCTACAGAATATGATGATTCAATGTTTTATAGCAGAAGACTTTTATCACAGTGAGATATGTCTGCTCCTGGCAGCACCAAGTTACTCCAAAAGAGGTTGACGTGCATAGAAGAACCTCCATATAGAGTTTGCTTTAGTTTGTGGCAAAGTTAGCCACTGGGCAAAGAAACTGCCCTTACCTTAAGTGTTGACAGTATGGAGTCCGAATTGGATGAGGAGGACACAAAAGAAGGCAACTGTTGAACTTTGTCAAGAGAAGGTGGCACAGTCCTTCAGAATTCCTGCTTCATAGAAAAGTTGATTAGATATTCTAGGCTTATAGGCCTAAGATGGATGCTACAGCATTATAGAGGAACCTTGGGTGACATTCGAGGCAGCCAGCTTTCTGTCATTTCTAGTTTTGGAAGTTGTTTGCTCTCTGATGGGATTGGAGACTAGATAGTAGATACAGTTACAGTTTTCCTTAGTCTGATAGAAAGTAAATTAGGCACAAAACTTTGGACTTATTAAGAGACCATAGATAATGGAATATTTTCTCGATATTTGCCAAATGGAATGGACATTGTGAATGTATTTTTTTATCTTATGTTTTTATTTTATTTTTAAAGACGGTCTTTATTTTACATACCAATCCCAGTTCCCCTTTACATGAATGTAATTCTTTTGTTGTTGTTTTTTATTTTTTGGTTTTTCGAGACAGGGTTTCTCTGTATTGTTTTGGAGGCTGTCCTGGAACTAGCTCTGTAGACCAGGCTGGCCTCGAATTCACAGAGATCCACCTGCCTCTGCCTCCCGAGTGCTGGGATTAAAGGCGTGCGCCACCAACGCCCGGCAAGTGTTCTTACTGTATATAGTTTTACTATGTTGGAGTTAATTTTAGACAAAAAGGGGAATGTTGGGGGTGTTTTTGTATTGATTGTTCCAGGATCACCAACCGAGTCCATCTTTGGTTCAAAGGGTAGAATCCATGTGCAGCTGGCTGGAGTGGACCTCAGAGTTTCCTGGGGGACTCAGGAGATAGAAGGACACATGGGGGACAAAGCAGAGGAGCTGAGAGAATGCTTGAGGTTTTAGATCAGGGAAGTGGGGAGAGACAGTGTTTGAATCCAGCATCATGCTGACCCTGCCCCCTGACAATGGGTGGGACATGTGTATCGGCATTCAGGCAGACACATAGGCCGCTCAAAGGGCCCCGTGTTGTGTGGCCACGTCATGGCTACGTCATGGCTACCTCATGAGTTACAGGGCTGTGTAAGGACTCAGGTCAAATGTGCAAGCTTCTCCTTTTAAGCATGCGTCTCTGCAGTTTCTCCTCTCCTCTCTTTGCTCTCTCCCTTCATCTCCCTCCTCCGTTTCTCTCTTTCTCTCTGCTCCCGGGTGGCCAACATCCCCCTTCTCTTCTCTGTCAATAAACTCCATGTGGATTTGTTGACTCGTGGTTAGGGTTTCATTACCCGTTGCTGCAGCAGGTGTTCATTTCTCTACTGCTCCATGGATTTCTCAGGTTTATTCTCTAATATTTACTCACAAGTTTTATTATTTATTTATTTTTGGTTTTTCGAGACAGGGTTTCTCTGTATTGTTTTGGAGGCTGTCCTGGAACTCACTCTGTAGACCAGGCTGGCTTCAAACTCACAGAGATCCACCTGCCTCTGCCTCCCTGCAATATCTGTGCAGGGATTTTTATGTCTTTTGTTCCCAATTAGTTATTCTTTGAATGAAAAAACCATGTTTCACTCCAATTCCTAGCCTTTTGTGCAATGTAGAGAAAGTAACAACCATATGCCTTCCTTCCTTCTCTGTGACAGTGTCTAACTAGGCAGCTCTGACTGGCCTGGAACTATTCAGACCAGAGCTCCACCTGCTTCTGCTTCCTGAGTGCTGGGATTAAAAGCATGCACCTTCATGCTATTCTTGCTATGCAACCCAGGTTAGCATCCAACTCCCAGTCCTCCTGCCCAGCTTCTGGAATAGCTGAAGTCTCCTGTGCTGTGGCACTCAGCTAACAACATTTTTAAACGGCTGCACAAAAAAATGGTATGGTTATTGGGCTGGAAATACAGCTCAGAGTTTATGAACACTGTCTTGTTTTTTAATTTGACACAAGCTAGAATCATTTGTGTAGAGAACCACAGTTGAGAAAGTGCCCCCACCAGATTGGCTTGTGGGCATTTTCTTGAATGTTTGCTGTGAGCAGGGTGAAGGGGGGATCTGGGGGGTGGGGATGGGGTTGTCCCCTGGGCAAGCCGCGAGAAGTAAGCTGGCAACGGTTTCTACATGGTTTTTGCTTCAGCTCCTGACCTGGCTTCAATCAGTGGCCGATTGTGACCCATAAAATGAGGTAAACTTTCATCCCCAAGTTGCTTTTGGTTACGGTATTTTACCACAGCAACAACAGAAAAACCAAAGATAAGGGCGGACCCACAACAGTCTGCAACTGCAGCTTCAAGGGATCTGACGTCATGTTACCTTGTACATACCCACACGCACACACAGGATAATTTTTTTTTTTTAATTACGAGCAATGGTACTAGTGCTCCAAATATCACGAAAGGTCACATCCTGAAATACTGTCTCCCAGCTGTGAACTACCGACCAACGCCACTGAGTTTCCTCTACTGAAGGCGGATTACATGAACACACGCTTCATCCTGCTCAGAGCGTAAATGTGGATATCTCATTCCCGACAGGTGATGTGGCCGGGCTCGCAGTCGTCCCTCACCCCCATCCTCCTAAGCTAGCAGAAGCGCTCCCTTGTCCTTTGCCGGGTAGCATTTATGTCTCTGTGAGGCAGAACCGCTCACCTCCCTAAGAGTGCAGAAGACCAAGGGAGAGATCCAGGAGAGAAAAGGCACAGCACAGAGCTGCGGCTAGGGATGGAGACGAACCAGAGACAGCCACCGGGCCCCAGCTCCCGCAGGCTCCCACGGCACAGGCCGGGCGCGTCCCCGGCCGCCCCGCCGGAAGTCCCGCCCGCGCCTGGGAGTACAGCCGCGCGCCCTCCGGCCAGTGCTCGGATTCAGGATCAGACTGGTCATCTCGCACCGTGAGTTCAGGAACACTACAGTCTAGGGAGCCGAACGCCTCGCGAGCCCCTAACAAGAGGAATCCTTCACAGGAGGGAAAGCCAAAGGCCTACGCCGTGTATCGTCGGGGACGCAGGCGGGACTTCCGCCTCGGGACCCGGAAGGGACCGCGCCGTCGCTGGTGGGAGTTGTAGTCCGGCCGTGGTTGGGGGGGCCAGCGGCTCATGCGCCGTGCACCGAGGCTTGTTTCACATCTGTAACAACAGGTGAATTGGGCTTTTTATTCTACCCTTTCGTGCCCCTTGAAGCAGCCTGCCACGGTCGGGGGTGGTCGGCGCGAGGAGGGGTCCCGGTCCGGCCGGCGGCCTGGCAGAGAGTGGGAAGGAGGAGCTGGCGAGCCTGAGGAGCAGGCCGGGCATCCTAGGCCTGCCCGTGAAGCCGGCCCGGCGGAGCCGTGGGCAGTCAGGCCTCGGCCTGCGGTTGCCATGGAGCCGGGGCGGGGCGGGGGCCAGGCCGGTCTGCCGGGGCGGGCCTCGCTGCCAGGGGCTCCACGGAGGCCGAGAGAGAGACCGCTTTATTGGCGCGACGACGCCTTCGCCTCAGGGGATGCTCGGTTTTCCCTAGGCTGGGCCTGGAGGAAGTCTCCGGAGTGCCCCGAGACCTTTGTCTGCCCCTCCTCCCACTGTGCGGTCTGGACCGTTCCTCCAAAGGGAGGCCTGGTGCATTTTTTTACTCCTTTGGTTTGCCCCTTTTTGCACCGACCTTGTCACTGGGGGAAGCTAAGGGGTGAGGTGTTCTTTGTTTGCTGGTGGTGACTTGTCCCGTTTTGCAGGGAAAGACCTAATGCATGTTGGGTCCTTTGTTTGCAGTGGAGTCCCAGGGGTCCTCAGAACCCTCAAGCCAAGGGTATGGCGTCGACACGCTTTCTAGATAAGTCTTTGTGTAATCAGCTTGGGTCATTCAATTGCACTTTCCAGTGTAGAGATTGTTCACCTTACAACCCCAGTTCATAGCGGTTTGCCAGGCACTGAAGTAGGTAGACTGCAGCTGTCCAGGTGCAAGGTCTCAAGTTGTTTTGGGTGCAGTCAGAGTGAGATTATACATTACCTGACGATTTCCCCTGCGGTTTCTTGGAAGGCCCCACTGCCGTGTGCCATGCTCAGAGTCTTGACGTTTCCAGGAGGGAAGACTCTTTCCTCATATATATAGATATAAATTGTAGATTTATGATAATGCTTTTTGCTTGTGCATTTATATATTCTTTGCCAAAGTTTTTATCTATGTAGACCTGACCCCCAAAGGTAGTAACTTCTCAAGTATTTTAATTTATGAAGCTATAGTCCAAAGTTGTATCAGCTTTTGGACCCCACTTATCCTCTCAAAAATGAACCTGATACATTCAGAATACAAGCTGATGTGTAGGAAAAGTAGTGTAATATAAACCTGTAAAACCACGGGGTCAAAATCTTTAATGCATATTTCCATTCTGTCCTGATGCAATGGGATCCTGGGTAAGTTGTATAACTGTGTTTCAGTTTCCTTCTCCTGGAAAGAACCCGGTTCTTCACACGGTAGTTGCAGGGATTATATGAAGTAAAGTCTATGGATTTTTTTTGTAAACTGTGAAAATTGAGATTGTAATTTTCCCAGTCTGCAAGTGTCATTTTAGATACATTAATATTATAGCCATTATGGGTTTAGAAAAGCAAAGGGGAGGTTTGCTCTGGGCTTGGAGAAAATGTTCTTAGCATGTTCTTACAGATGCTCTGTGGGACAATTCACATTTGGTGGGTCTAGGACAGGTTGGGGGCCTCTTGAATGATGCCATTGTGTCAAAAACTTGTTAAAGTTCATAAATTGTTTTCTGTGATTGGTACAGTTTTGCCTCCTAGTGGGGATTGCCATTCCAGTGACCCAACATTGTATTTTCCAGGAGGAGGCCCAGCCTCGTGATGAGGAATAGCAAGGAGAGAATTCAACTCCAGTTCGAAAGCCTACAAAATCTGAGCCCCTCACTTCTCTTATAAGGTGAAGCGACTTAGCCCTGCCTATAGATTGTGTTGTGTATTTTGCTTAGCCACAGTATAAAGCATGTGCTTGGTGCCATTTATGGTCCTCTTAGGAGTATTGTTCATAATTTGTCATTATGGAATCTGTGGTCTATTATGGAGCTGTCACAATCTACTAGAAGTTGCGTTTCTTCACGTAAGAATTTTTTTTCTGTGTTTTTTGTTTTTTCTCTGAGACAGGGTTTCTCTGTGGCTTTGGAGCCTGGCCTTGAACTCACCACAAACATCCGCCTGCCTCTGCCTCCCAAGGGCTGGGATTAAAGGTGTGCACCACCACTGCCCAGTCACATAAGAAATTTTGACATACTAGAATTTCATGTATATCTATAAATTGTATTAGAATCAAATATTTTCTTTTTTTTTTTTTTTTTTTTTTTTTGGTTTTTTGAGACAGGGTTTCTCTGTAGCTTTGGAGGCTGTCCTGGAACTCACTTTGTAGACCAGGCTGGCCTCGAACTCACAGAGATCCGCCTGCCTCTGCCTCCCAAGTGCTGGGATTAAAGGCGTGCGCCACCACCGCCCGGCTATAGAATCAAATATTTTCAAAATTACCACCACATTACAAGGGATGTACATTTATTTTGGATCTCTGTGAGATGGTCTAGAACATTGTAAAGTGAGATGTTTTAATATCTTGAATCTTATATTTTTTGAGATGAAGACAGAAAAGAGCATACTATATGGAACTCAGTTGGCAAAGAAAATTCAATGACTTTTTAAAAGCAAAACTCAGCTGGGTATGGTGAGTAATGCCTGCAGTTCCAACACTCCGGAGCTAAGGCAGGGGGATCTCTTTGAGTTCAAGCACACTCTGGGCTACAGAGTGAGACTTGGTCTGAAAAATCTCCAAAAACTAAAATTATAGCAAAACCCAAGTTTGTTTACATGCACATTTTAAATTTCCTTGGCAAAGAAGTATTGTTTTGGGGCTACAGTTATAGTTTAGTGGTACATCAATTGCTTTGCTTGTACAAGGCCTTGAGTACAATTCCCAGTATCAAAAAAAAGATGATTAAAACATTCTGACTTGCTGGATGGTGGTGCACACGCCTTTAATCCCAGCACTCAGGAGGCAGAGGCAGGCGGATCTCTGTGAGTTCGGAGGCCAGCCTGGTCTACAGAGCGAATGCCAGGATAGGCTCCAAAGCTACACTGAGAAATCCTATCTCAGAAAAAAAAGAATAGGCCTTTTACTTCACACTCCCATGAGTTGGGAGTGAAAGGGAATTGCAGTTAGGAACAGGTATGTAGCCCTAGTCTCCTAGCAACGTTGAGCATTAACCTAATGTGCAAAACATTATTGGTCTTTTAAAGCTAGATCTAGTAAGGGTTACTAGACCCACTCCTAACCCAGGAGTGCTAGTAAAAAGACCTCTGCTAGGTGGTGGTGGCGCACACCTTTGATTCCAGTGTTTGGGATCGCTCTGAGTTCCAGGGTAGCCAGGACTGTTACACAGAGAGATCCTGTCTTGAAAAATCTAAAGCAAGATGAATTAAAAAAAAAAAGATATTTAAGTATGAATTTGAGTATTTTACACGACAATATTGCTAAATTACAGGTGTTATTTTTTTCCAGTTATCACTAGTCTCAGTTAAATGTATTATTAAAAGCCAGGCGTAGTGGCAGACACTTGTAATTCCTTCACTTGGGAGGCAGATGCAGGAGGACCAGAATTCAGAAAACCAAGTAAATAAATAAAATAAAGGAAAAAGGTACTAATAGGTAGAATGTACCACAACACTGGGTGTGAGCTACATACCTGCAACCTCAGTGCTCAGGAAGGATAATTTCAGGCTAGCCTGGGCTCTATAGTAAAACCCTGTCTGGTGGTGGAGGGGACACCAATCAAGACTTCTGGCTAGTAGCTGTGGCCTAATGTATTTATTATTTATTATTGATATCATTAACAATTATTACTTGGAAATTTACCATTTGTTTCATAGGGACTCCACCATAAAAAGCCTTTTTTCCTTTTCTTTTTTTTTTTGTTGTTGTTGTTTGTTTTTTTGTTTTTCAAGGCAGGGTTTCTCTGTGAAGCTCTGTCCTAAAACTTACTCTATAGGCCAGGTTGACCTCGAGGTCCCAGAGATCTACCTGCCTTTGCCTCCCAATTGCTGGAATCAAAGGTGTGTGTCACCCAGCTTAGCAAAACTTTTTAATTCTGAAACTTTATATGGTCACTCTTTGATACTATCAGTCAAGTCCCATTCCAAAGAGCTGTACCAGGTTTTCTGAAAGCCCAGTTTGTCCTTAGGCAGTCCTCAGTTCAATTTCCCAATGCCACTTGCAGCAGAAGGTCCCTGTGGTATTCAGTTTCTTCTTGGAAAGACCAGGAAAATCTGGAAGTGTTGTACCTAGGTAAAACTGTGTTGTCTTGACACCCTCCATCACTTTCTGTTTAGCAGGCTCAGGGAGTTATAGGACAGCAAAAAGAAGGACTGTCAGTTAGAAAGCAGCAAAGAACAGAGTGTGGAGCTAGCCTTTTGTTTGTTTGTTTTTCTGGTGACAGGGTTTCTCTGTGTAGCTCAGACTCCCTTGGAACTCATTCTGTAGACCAGGTTGGCTTTGAACTCAGAGATCCACCTGCTTCTGAGTGCCGGGATAAGGTGCCCGCCACCACTGCCTTGGCATTCTTAACCCTGGGGAGCAGCAGTGGGGCTCACTAGTTCACAGCTTCATTTCCCTGTCTTCTGGATTCTGTATTCTTGCAGTCTTTGCAGATTCTTGAACCAGGAATAGTAATCAACATTCATGGCCTTTTGACCCTCCTTCTCAGGATTCCAGCTTTCTCTCCTGGCCAGAAATGTTCAGCCTGGACTCATTCAGAAAAGGTAAGAATGAGCTGT